GGATGCAACATTCCTTGTAAGGCACGTGCTTCTCTTTCATGTCCTGAGCTGGCAGGAAGAGGTAGGGAGTGTTTCTCAGAAAGCTTTAGGGGAAAGCTATCCATTCTCTCATCCATCTATCTATACCTGTGATTCCCCTTTACCATGTCATAGCCTAGTCCCAGGTTCTGGGAATTAGGTTAGGGACACCTTGGGTGGAGGGGCATTATTCTGCTGTCCACAAGTCTCCTAAGTCTCTTTCCAAAAACTTTGTTGTGTCTTGCCACATTTGGATATATGATCCATCTTTCATTAATCTTTGTGTATAAGGAAATGGAAGGCTCAAAACTTACTTTTTCCCATATAATGTCCAGATGACCCAGTACCATTTTATTGAAAAGACTATTCCTCCCCCCCCCCCCATTAGGCTGCAGTGGTGGCTTTGTTATAAATCCGGTGACCATAGTGTGTGGGTCTTCTGATCCAGTGGTCCCAAGGTACCCTGCAAAACAAATACTAAACACCGGGCTGGGCTGGGCTGGGAGCCCCAGTTTGCACTGTTTGCTAATTTCCCCTGTAGCCAGCTTCAAACTACCACTGTGAAGCTAGTGAGTTTGTAACATTAAGTGGGCTCTGGTGTCCCAGTAAGGGCTGGCCTGACCCCTCTGCATCGGTTGGTCTATTTTTGCACCTGTGTTGCATATTGACTCTAAAAAGTGTCAGAACAGCCAAGGTCTCCCCCATCTATTTTCTGCCATCCTCTGCACTGCCTAACATACTCTGGCCCCAGAGTCAGTGTGGCCGCTTGGTTATGGTGAGTGGACCAGAGAAGGCTGGCTGCTCCCAAGGCTTGAGTGTCATGTCTCTGCACACTCGGGGGCTGTTCTTTGGACCAAAGCGCATGTGGTCAGGACTCTCTGTGGCACAAAGTGTGGGCCCTGATGATGCACATTTGCAGCGTCATTGGCCCCAAGTTTCTCTCCAGTGACATCAATTTCTGGAGCAGAGGAACAAGAAGAGTATTTTTGAACCAAAAGTACTTTTGCCACATTGAAGTTTCCTTCCCCATCCCCCTCTTTCTTCCTTCTTCCTCCCACCAAGTGACTGTGGAGTGCCGTTTTGTGCCAGACACCGTGCTCATCAGGGGGAATGCATTCTGGGGGAAGGTCAATGTGAAAGTATTGCTCCAAACATCTAACTGCACCCGCTTCCAGGAAGAGTAGCAGGTGCTTATCTCCCGATCCTGGTGTTTCCACAGAGGGAGGGGCGTCTGCACTCTGAGGAAGAGGTGCAGGGGCTCAGTTGGCCTTTTTCAGTGCTTCTTCCCCAGGGAAGGGGATGCACCTGCTTGCGCAGTCTGGGAAGAGGGAATTGAGTGTGCCGAGTGGTGTCCTTTGCTCTCTCCAAGGAGGTGATCGATCTCAGGACACATACTTCTCCTCGGATGCGGTTTACCATGAAGTCACTGATGTCTGCACAGACCCCCACCCAGGCCCAGGGGTGGGCTTAGCGATATGTCCACAGAGTCCTAATTCTGTACACTTTCCGTAGTCAGATCAGAGGTTTGAACTGCAACCAGTTAAGACACGATTTCCTTCCACTCCAACGTCCCCAAGTATCAGGTGACCCTGGGGAGGCCGTGGGTATTTCCGGAGCCGGGTTAGGGCAGGTGGACTGGGGTTCAGTGGGGATGTTTCCGTGTGTTGGCCAGCCCAGGCACAAACAGCCAGCCCTGTGCCACCTCTCCTGCATCACGCACAGAGCACGCGAGTCCCGTGGCGCCCGGCACCAGAAGCCTGTGGCCCAAGGGGAGGGATGGAGGTGCCCAGAGCCGGAGGCTGGTCCACAGAATGTCTCCCAGCTGTCATTATGTGTCAAATTTTGAGTGGAGAAATACTAGAGCGAGATATTACAGAGGTGGATTAGGCAATCCACTGATTTAAAAAATTATTTTATTTTTGGATTTGTGACTTTTGTGGAATTCATCAGACTTTAAAAAAATACATCACTCATTCTCATCTCCTCCCTCATTCTGAATATTTATTCACTCTTATCCCTTTGTAGTTTAATTTGCTTTTTATTAAGCTCTTCTCCCCAAAATGTACACATTCCAGCACCCCCACCCCAGATCTGGGTCTCCCTGTTCCTCCACTCTTGCCGTGTTTCCGGTTGTCCCCACGATGGAGGCTTGTGTCTGGGGCCATGTGTGTGGCTGGGGAGGAAGGGAGGAGCGAGGCTGCATGGCCGCAGGACCAAGCTCAGCCCTCCAGTGTGGCTCCGTCGGCTACAAAGCCCATGTGCGGATCTCCCCGGCTGCTCTATGTCGCAACTGGTTCCAAATGTGGATGAGAAATAAAGGAATGTTTATTTTTCCCTCTTAGGCTAAGAGCCTAAGGGGAGGGTGCAGTCTTGTCTGAGGGCCGCAGGGAAGGCTCTAAACGCGAGTCCTGCCGTTGAGATGTGGATGATGTTCACAGGCTCGTGAGGCAGAGAGGAGGGGCAGGGGGTAGGGTTGTTCCAGGCGGGCAGCATGAACGTCCTGTGCCAAAGCCCAGTGGCAGGTGGGGGCGGGCAGGTGTGAGGCCACGAGAGGAGACGGGCTGGGTGAGGGTGGGGGCAACAGCGGGGCTGTGCCTGAGATCAGACCTCGCCGGGCCCTGTGGTCCGTGTTAAAGATTTTGCTTTTTCTCCTTTGAGCAAAGAATACTGCTGAAGCGTGCACCGGTCAGATTTGTGTTTTGGAACGTGCGGGCCGGTCAGAGGAGGCGGGGCAGGGCAGGAGGCAAAGGTCGGAGCAGTTAGGAGTTTCCTGGGGGCAGCGTCTAGGTCAGCACCAGAGGTAGGGGCAGGACAGACACCGGGCTGCCCAGAGAGGTGCTCTGAGAGTCTACGGCCTTTCTCCTTGCTGAGCTCAGACTAGACGTGGAAGAATGAATCCACTAACTTACTCACCATCCCCTTCCGGGGCACCTCCTTCCATCTTCCTAACAACCCACCACACAAAATACGCACTGGGACAGGAATGGATGGAGGAGGTCGGTGGCGATGTGTCCTCGGTCTCCCCCGCGCCGGGCGTGCTGTGCTTGCGAAGCCAGCCCCGGGCGTCCCAGAGCCTGTGCCAGACACTGCTGAGTGTCCCGTGGCTTCCAGTGTCCACGTTTCATTCTGCCCGGGGAGGCAGTTGCACTATGGAAGGCACCTCCATGCCCCCGCCGGGAGCTGGAAGACTCCATCTATAGTGTGATGAGAACAGAAACAGTCCACAGTGTTCACCGAGTCCTGTGCCCCGACCTGTGTCAAGCCCAGTAGCTGTGCATCAAGGCTGCAGCACTGGTGTGTGACACAGTCGCTCCGGCTGAGGAGGCTACACCCAGGAAGCAAAATAATTTTAATGCAAGATCTACGGAAGCTGAGCTGCTGTCGTTCTTTCCGAGATGCCGGGACCGCCAGGGATCTACATTTACCAAAATCAAGTCACCGGATCAGCCACTCCCAACTCCAGACTGCCTCTGTGCGGAGGACCCATGTGACAAAAGTGGTTTCTAGGTCAACCAGGTTCTCAAAAAGGGCAAGAAGGAAACCACAGCTTGTTAGCAGAATGATGAAATGCTTTATTTGGCCACAAGAGGGAGCCCGCGAGCAGACCCGTTAGGACCCGAAGCTCTGATGGGAAGCATCCTTAACAAGCCATCTAACTACCGTGGATGACTTCTACCCCAGAGCCACTCTTTCCTAAGAGAGTCTAATTTAGATTAAAAAAAAAAAAAACTCAGGCCACAAATGGTCCAGGAGATCTCCGTGACAGGGGTCCCGGGGCCCAGGACCCACTCTGTCCGAATTTGCCAGGCGCCGGCACACTTTGACTCAGGTTGGGGTGATGCCCCCCAGGGGACATCTGGCCGTGTCTGGAGACAAGTCTGGTTGCCACGACTGGGGGGCAGTGCTCCTGGAATCTGGTGGGCCAGGGATGCTGCTAAATATCCCACTACGCACAGAACGGCCCCTGCCCCAAATGAAGAATTATCTCACCCAAAATGTCCATAGTGCCAAAGTTGGGAATCCCTGATTTCCATGAAAAGAGTAATTTTCTTTCTGGGTGGGAAAGGCCTCTCCTCGCAGTGGTTTAAATAGGGCCGGTCTGGAAGCTCTGGGAGCCGCAGAGTCCCCAGGAACAGGTCTCCTGAGGGAGAACTGCTTGTCCCCTCCCCGGGGAAGCTCAAGGGCTGAGCGGGGCCACCCCCAGAAGACCGGCAGCAGGTGTCATGATGTATCTGTGTGGCCTCGGATCCCCAGGGTCGGTGACGTAGGCCCGCAGGCCAGGGATTCCACGGTCTGTGTCAGGGTCCTGGGGCCCTGAGATTCACCCCCCAAAGTGACCAGGCGTTAGCTGCTGGCTGAGCTAAACCCGGGAATGGGTCCAGATGAGAACTCCGTGGCCAGGTATGTGGGACACGGTGCACGGGACACGTCTCATGGGACGGACTGAACAAGGTGGCAGAAATGGTGGAGAAAAGGATTCCAGCCAGAAGACCCCAGCCCTCCCTGAGACCCCTGCACACCCAGACCCCTGCAACACCTGGGAGAGTCTGGGGAGCAGGGGGGCCCTGAGGCTGGAGTGAAGCAGTCTCACGCTGGGCGGCCGGGTTCGGGGGGCAGCAGGACACCGTGGGGTGGGGGGGGTCAGACAGCCAGGGAGGAAGAGGTCCCTGAGGAAGGGAGCCACGTCTCGAAGCCAGAGAGAGAGAGAGCTGCAGACAGGTGTCCCGCATGGGTTTCTAATTCCACAGGCCGGAGGGTACCCCCTGCTCACGGAGGCCTCGTCGGGCGCTCTCCATCAGTCTCTGTCCAGCCCCCCTCACAGCGAGCCTGGAAGGCAGAGGGGGACCCCTGCCCCCCTCACCATCTCACTGGGCTGGGGAGCGGGGCAGCAAGCAGGCAGTGTTCAGACCAGATCCTCGGCTCCAGCCCCGGCAGCCGCAATCTACAAACTGCTTCTTTCCCTTAGCAGCTTCAGCCGCAATCTACAAATTGCTTCTTTCCCTTAGCAGTTTCTTGGGGCTCTCGCGGTCACCAGCTTCATTTTCTTGCTGGTTCAGCCTTTTGCTGCTTAAAACATGGAAGCAAGGCAGGGGTCAGAACTCTGATTCCAGATCTGTCCAGAGGCAAGAATTCCTCCAGTGGGATCAGATGGAGGCAGTGACAGGCGATCTAAACCATTTTCCTTTGACCGGGATTGTTGGGAGACAAACACAGCTCCCAGTTTCCCTGTTTGGTGGCGGTGGGGGGTGGGGGTCATCTGAGGGCCACAGGGAAAGGAAGCCGCAGCTCAGATGCTCAGACGACTGGGTGCCCAGGACGCATTTACCCTACTGCAAATCCCAGGGTGTCTGTAACAGTGGAGGACTGGTGGCCGTTCAGGCTGGGTGCTGGTGGGATGTGGAGCTAGGTCATGGCCGACCCGGCCACATCGGACACGAACAGCAGCAGTGAGGGATGCCAACACCTCCCACCATCGTCCATCATTTGTGGGACCCTCTGGCTAACACCTCTGGGTAAAGATGCCAATTTTTCTGCCCAGACTTCAGGTGGTCAGTAAGCACCCACAGGCAGTACACTGGGGTCCCTGCTGTACCTGAGTGATCCCGAGGGGTGGCCCCCTGAGGCAGGGTCATCGTCGGTGGGCCCCCCTGGGTCCCCTTTCTCCCGGGGTGGGGGCTTCTTCCTTCTCGTCCTTACAGGCTTCTCTGCAGAAGACACACAGACCCAGACATTGGCTCTGTGACTTCACGAGCCTCCAACCAAGCCAGACACTTTCTGAGTACACATTATACCCATTTAACTTATAGGGAAACTGAGGTCTGGGGGTGAGGTGCCTCCCAAGGCCATCCAGCCATTAAGTGGCAGAGCTGGGGTTCGAGCCCAGGGCTGTCAGGCTCCCACTGTGTTTCCGTCGCACAAGCAGTAAGACCCCGGGAAAACATCACTGGTACGGCAGACCCCTGCGTTCCTACACACCTTCCTGTCCCTATCCCGTCAGCACAACACCTGTGGGGTCACTGAAGTTGCTGCTGGCAACCAGATCATCAGCGGGGGGCTAATTATTCCCCGGGGTCCAAGTGCCGTCCTAACTGAGCCTCTTTATTTACAGACAAGGACACAAAAGCCACGCAGATGGTTGGTGGCAGACACGGGACTAGCATCCCTATTCCCAGCCCTCAGAGCCTCCCGCCTGGGGCAGCACCTTCTAGGCCTTACCTGACAGTCCACGCTTACTTGGCGACAGTCTGCTTTGCGGAAGGGGCACCCGGGCCAAGGCCGCCAGCTCAGAGATGAAGCTCTGCTCGGCTTCCTGAATGCAGGGAGGGAGGGTCAGCCAGAGCTGCCTCTGCCCATCCCGCATCCGCAGCGCAGTGAGGCTGGCGCTCTCCAGGGTGGCTGACGGGACGGTGTCCCCGGCACACACCGTTCCCCGGCGGCAGCCCCGAGGCAGCAGGGGCAGGGCAGACGCGTGTGTGAGGGAGGAGGCCAGCGTTTTCCAGCTTCTGCCAGAGAACTGCCATCCTCACTCACGCCAGCCGGGCAGCCCCGGTCTACAGATGAGAACACTGAGCTGAGGGCTCAGCGAGGCCCACAGAGGAGGAGCGGCAGAGCCAGGACCTAACCCGCTTCTGCCCGACCGCGGAGTCTGAGCTCTCAGCTGCCACCACTGTGGGCCAACCACGGGCCTGGCTTCCGTGACTCATGGACTGTAGGAGGCTAGATGGTGACTAATCTCTCAGAGCCTCAGTGTCCCCATCTGGAATATAGCAGTGACCCCGTCCTCGGTGGTCAGAGGATGACATCAGAGGGCGCGTGCACGGCTCTCAACTCAGCGACAGACCCTCAGCAAGGGTTCACCGTCTTTACTGTTGCCTTATCCCGGCTGCGCTGGGGGTGAAGACTCCTGCCGGCCCTAGGGCTCACGGTCAAGCCAACCGCCAGTGACGACCTCAGCAAGCCAGGGCCGGGGTGTCTTTGCTGACCTGTGATCACGTCGTGAACCGCCCCCACCCCGCGCCCACGTTGGGAAGGCGCTTTTCCGACACTCTACCTGCAGCTGGGTCTCGAGCTGGGCTTCCAGATGATCCATAGCCCTTGCCTTCTGCTTCCAAGCATCCAGGCGGATCCGCCGGTGCACGGTGAACTGGGCCAGAAACTTTTTCTGCTGTGCCTCCATCCTGGCGGAAGGAATGGAGGCCATCAGGGCTGCCCTTGCCAGCCGGCCAGTCAGAGACCAGCACAACAGCTTCCCAGGGGCCTGCGGAGTCGTGGGGATTTGAGCCCTTGGAGCCATGAGAGCAGAATGGCCTCCGCTGATTTATGGTGGCTACACAGGGGCTGACTCATCACGAAAGCAATTCGCGCTCGGGACGTTCCAGAATCCCGCATGCCTCTTTTCCCTGGGGTCCTACCAGACCCTTGGGGGTACCAGCAGGACCAAAAGTAGCATCTTCAGGGGTGGGAGCAGCTCAGAGGGGCGGGGGCCTCCCTGGGGTCCTCCAGCTGCCAAGCGACTGAACAGCAAGTGGCCTCTTCCTACAAGAAATCATCTGAACCTAGGGTAGGGGGATGTGCTCCTGAGAGGACCAGAGGCCCACCAGCTACCCATCCATATTGAAAACGGAAACCAGAATGCTCATTGCCAAGCACGCAGCATCCGACAAATCCCGAATACGGGCGCGCCGCGCCTCTGCGGGGCAGGGCTTTGAGCTGGGGCAGCAGCGGGGTCCCCGACCTGCAGACAGCCCTATCTGGCTTTCAGGGGCAGAGACCCTTCCCCTCCCACTCCGAATACCCTCCCTTCCTGGGCTGACCTTCCTCTGGCCCTCAGCAAATAGGAACATTCCATCCCATCCATCTCGTTTGCATAACTGCTCTCCAATCTTATGTGACTGCTTTTCTAAAAGGGCTGAATTTCTGGACCCGAAGAGAGAAGCCACCTCCGGCGTCAGCAGGTAGCTGGTTATGGAGTTTCCCCAAAGGCACAACATTTCACTTGGTGTTTGCTTCAGGCTCTTCTGTCGGCCAGTAATATCTTTCCCCTCTTCTTTGTATTTGCCTGGCAAACTCCTACTCATTCTACAAGACCCCATCATTAATCCATCCATCCACTCCTTCATTTATACATAAAAGGACCTCTGGCCTGCCGGGGGCTGTCCTGTGTTTGGAATATACGGGTGTGAATAAGACACTCACAGTCCCTGCCTGCGTGAGGCTGCACTGTGAGCTGGGGGCAGGGTGCGGGTAGAGGCAGAACACACCATTGGAAGAGCGGAGGTCAGGGCCCTGCAGTACGGCCTCTCCCGCACCCTCGAGGAGGCCGCATTCATGTCCTGGGGCTGCTCAGTTGGCCGCAAGCTGACAGGAGGCACTTAACAGCAATCTATTCTCTCACAGCTCTGGCGGTCCGAAGGCTTCCATCAAGGTGTCGGCAGGGCTGTGCCCCCTCCAGAGGTTCTGGAGGAGAGCCCCGTCCCTGCCTCTCCCTGCTCCTGGCGGCTGCTGGTCCTCCTTGGTTGGCGTCCGGTCCATCCCAATCCTGCCCCCGTCCTCCCGTGGTCCTCTTGGTGAGTGATCGAATCTCCCTCCGCCCCACCTGCCCGCGGGGATAATCCAGGACAATCTCGTCTCAAGATCTTTAACTTCATGACATCTGCAAAGATCTTTCTTCCCAATAGGTCACACGCACAGGCTCCAGAGGTTAGGACACGGGCAAATCTTTGGGGGGCCGCCGTTCAGCGTCTAGGTGGCTTCTTGCTGCGAGCAGCCTGTCCTATGCCCGTTCTGCCGACAGTCCTGGTCACTCTCGGCTGCCGCCCACTGTGGACTTGGCTAACGGGAGGGGCAGGCTGGGGGAGCACCACACGAGGAGGGGTCGGAGGGGGGCTTCACCCTGTAAGGCCCGGGGAGCCTGAGACCTGGCTGCCTCGTGTCTCTGTGATGCCCTGGCTGCAGTGTGGAGGTAGGCCTGGCTGCAGGGTCTGAGGCGCCCAGACGGGTACATCAGCTCCTAAAAAACCCCTTACCCTTAGACTCGTATTTGATTATGGAAAGGGCTTTTTAAAAGACCTCCGTTCTGACTGAGTTCTGGCTGCAGAGCCGTTCCGATTGCAGGAGGCACCGTAGCGACGACTCTGCGGGTGGGGAGGGACATCGGGGCGCTGGCCGTGCGCCCCCCTCACTGTGGGCGCTGCATGCAAATACATCCGTGAGGCAGGAGCTACTGCAAACCCGCTTCAGAGATGGGGAAGCTGAGGCTCGGGGCGTGAAGGGACTGAGCTAGCGGGTGGCTGTCGGAAGGGGCGGTTCCCCTGCAGAGTCACCGGCATCCCTCAGACGGGCCCTCCCACAATCACACGGCTCGCCAGAGGTGCGGTTTGGAATTTGCCATTAGACAGAGAATTGCTTTGCGGGCTTATTCTCGTATTGCTCTTTCTGATCGATTATCTGTTGTCACGATACGGCTCTGTCCCCAGGAGTTCTGGCTGACTTTCAATAGGAACTTCGAGTAGCAGGGCAGGGCGGGAAGGACACTGACAGCCACGCAGGAGCCTCTAAGTCACAGTAGGACTCAGTCACGCACCCGCATCCCCCCTGGGCCCCGCTTCCATCTTCCATAAACTTGGGGGAGGTTGGACTGGGGGCAGCTGAGGCCCCTCCTCCTGGGTCACGGGGGTCAAAGTGAAGCCCTCGGACTACATCCATCGGCAGCCCTGGAGAGGAGTGTGTTAACAATTCAGATTCCTGGGGACCCCCTCAGAGCCCCTGAGTTGAGTGTCCAGATGTGGGGCCGAGACCTGCCAGCCCAGAGATGACGCTCCCGGCATCGGAGAGCCGCCGGCCCGTAGTCTGATGGATCTGCAACAGTCAAGGCAAGGTGACAGCTTGCAGCCCAATGGCAGGACATCTGCTGACCACAGCTAAGGGCCCGTTGGAGGATTTGTGGAGAGCAGATGTAGGATGCAGCCTGACCCAGGGGGCCCTGTGGTTCTTGGTTCCTAAACCAGCTGTCAGATGACGGGCTCGAATTGACCGTGAGGCTTGGCACAGAGCCCACACCTCCGCCATGCAGGGCGGTGGTCATCCTGCTGCAGCTTCCAGCGGCTGGGATGTGTCTGCCCAGACAAGGGACCCACACCCCCGCCCCGTCGTCCTGCAGGGACCCGCCCCTCCCCCAGCAGAGCACCTGCACCGATTTATTGCTGTTTCCCTGTCCGTCTCTCCCCCCAAGGCTGTGAGCTCTGGGGTGACAGGTGCTGTCCCCAGGGGCTGGCTCCAAGCCTAGCAAGAGGAGGTGCTTATAGAGGAATGCTGGCTCAGCACCCGCGGCCCCTAGCTCACCCGTGGACAGCCAATGGCTCCTTACGCCAAGCATCTGTGTCTATGTCTCAGGGCATTCTCTGGTCCCCGGGGTGTGCCCGGCCAGCTCCGGGGCTGGCCAGAAAGGCTGGTGACGTCACACCTCCAGGGCGGACCCTCAGCCAATGTGGAGCAGGGGGTGGCGGACAAATCCTTATTTTCTGCATCCCTTGCTGGCAAAATTGGAAGTTGAATTTTACAGTCTCTCAGGAGGTCCAGAGTGGGATTGAGCCTCAGGCGCCGTGGAAACACCTCACTGTCCTGGGGTTGATCTGCTTTGTTTCTGTTGTGGTCGGCCACACAGTGCCCCCCACATGTGTCCCTAATCCCCGGAACCCGTGAAAACGTCACATTTCATGGCAATCAGCTCCTTGCAGGTGTGTTCAGGGTCAGCAACTGTTAAGATTTGGAGATTATCCTGGATCATCTGGGCAGGTCTCAGTCACTGGGATGCTACAAGCAGAGAAGTTTCTCCAACTGGAGTCAAGAGAGAGACGTGGCCGAAGAGGGAGGCAGAGGACTCCAAGCATCGGGATTGTAGGGGCCGCAAGCAAGGATGGGAGAGAGGCTGCTAGGAGGTCAGGGAGGCCCCCAGCCGACAGCCGCTAGGCAACGGGACCTCAGTTCTGCCGGGAACCTGATGTTGCCACCCTGAGCAAGCCTGGAAAGGTTCTTCCCAGAGCCTGGACAAGAGCCCAGCTGGCTGACGCCCAGAAAACCCAGCAGCCCCCGTAGGGACCTCTGAGCTGCAGAAGTGCATGCTTTGTAGCCGGAAACACCTGTGGGCCTCGCGTCCCTCTCCCTCACTGGGCTTCCCGGGGTCACCTCCAGAGTAAACAGCCTGCCCCCCATCCTCATGTCAGAGCCTGCACTGGGGGAGCCCGCCACAGCCGGCCTCCCTCGTTCCCTCGTCAGGCCCCTCCGAGGGGCCTCGTGTCCAGCAGGGAGCCAGACAGGGGCGCGTGGGCCTCCCCAGGCCAGACAGGTGCATGCACCATCAGACGCACCATCAGACGCTGAGTGTGTAGCAGAGACTCCAGAAAGGGGAGAGCTCACCTCCGGTGGACCGCCTTGCAGGCTTCGCCGGCTCCACCCGCCACCAGGCTCCCCAATGAAGGCTCTCCGCGTCCTTGCTTTGTCTGCAGCTTGTAGTTCTCCATTCTCTCACCTAGACCATTCAGCACACGAGATCAGGGGCATGTCTGGGGACCACGTCTGTGCCAGGTCCGGGGCGGGGCTGGGGCACAAAGATCAGCGGGGCACCTGCTCTCAGAGTGTGCTGTTTACCCAGCACCCAGCACTCAGCACCCAGCACCCAGCACCCACGCTTAACCCCGGGAAAGGCTCCGAGTGCGTGAGAAAGCATGGCTTCCGTCACAGACCCTGCGCCCCTGGAGGAGGGGGAGGAGCCTTCTAGAACATACAGAGAGGTTCAACCTGGATGGTCTCTAACTTGGGATGATCTCTAGGGACATAACATTCTGTGGCTCTTCAATTACAAAGAGTATTGAATGAAACAAAAGTTGCTCATGTGGCCTATTAAGTTTATCATTTCAATGCATTTCCTGAGAAATCCTCACATTAGAGCCGGGGTATCAGGGAAGCAGGAAATCAGAGCTGAGAGGAGGCATGGAGGGTGAGCCCAATCCTGGCCCCACAGATGGGGAACCAAGGCCTAGAGGGGATGTGAACGGCCCCGAATGCTCTGCGTGACCATCTCGTCCGTCTCCTGCTGGCCTAGCCCAGCCCTTACTTTGGAAAACGATGACGAATCCGCAGCCACCAGTCAGATTTCCGGGCATGTGCCCAGATTTTACTTGACTCTGGGATTCAAATTCCCCAGGACAAGGGGAAGAAAAGGCATCTACTGAGCTCACTGAGAGAACAAATATTCCCAGAAGACCGCTCCCAGGACCTGCTGCCCGTCTTCGGTCTAGGGATCGATTCCCACGCTGATCCCCGGACAACCCAGGCTGAACCCGTCAGAGAACATGGGGTTCCAGCCTGTTCTGAAGCCTCAGATGCGGGGAGGGACATTACGAGCAGAAGCCTTGAAGAAACCGGCTTTTGTCTGTTATTCTACGCGTGTTATTGCTGGCCTTGGGGATTCTATTTCGTCCCCGGTGGCCTCTGACGAGAGCCCACGGGGGGACTTCTCTGGGTCTCAGGAACCCTGTATGGCCTGTTCACACTTGCTCTCACTACACAGCTCTGAAGAGGTTCCCATCTCTCTGGCCACCAGGAAGCCCAGAGCCAATACCTTGTCACCACCAGGGAGGGACTGGGTGGCCTATGTCCCAGATCACGACCTCACTCGAACTCCATCCCACTGCCCCGTCTTGTCATAGTTCATCTACTTTTTAGCAATCCTATTGTACTGTATGTGTAGTTCTTTAAATGGCTTTTAAAAAGCCCCTTGTCGGGGGACAAGGCAGGAAATAAATAAAATAAAATTCCTTCAAATAACATTTGAAAAAGCTGGCATGCCATTGTGTGTCCCAAACTAAGAGCACGTCCGGCCCGCGGCCTGCAGGGCTTCCCTGAGGAGGGGGCCGTACCCTGCAGGGTCTTCAGATGCTGCAGTCTCCCCTCCTCCTGGTCCTGCATGATCCTCCCGATCTGCTGGTAATAGGCGTGCACCAGCCGGCCGACCCCGGCGCTGGTCACGTAGACGCTCTCCACAGCCGCCTCCATCAGGGTCCTCTGTGGCAGGAGGCGAAAGGCTCAGCAGAGAAGCCACCCACGAGCGCGGTCCCCTGCCTCCCCTTGTCCTGCTACTTAAGCTTCCACCACTCCCAACCTTGACTGGTCGGGGAGCAGGTAGAGTGCGTGCTTGGTTATCTTATTTCTTTGGACAGCAGTGGTCTGGGGCTGGCTGTATGACCCAGTTCTGGCCAATGAGATGCAGCGTTAGGGAAAGACTGATGGGGGACCTTCCCTTTACAAACATTTAAGGCAAAGCTTAGTTTTGGGGGGAAGATTTTACTGTTTTCTTCTTCCTGCCTGGAATGCAGATCTGATGTCTGGAGGGGCAGTGGCCATTTTGAGACTACGAGGCAGCGAACTAACACCAAGAATGGTGGATTGGAAGGAAAGAGCTGGGGCTCGGTCACATCACCGAGCCTCTGTGCGAGCTCAGGACCCCCTACCTCCACATTTCTTGTTATGTGGGATGAATAACTTCTATTTGTTTGCCATTTTAGCGTCTTTCTGTTACCGGCAGCAGTATGCATTCTCAAGTGACAAACCTTCAGGCCCAAAGCAGAGAGGAAATGCTCAGGGGCGTGTTGGCTGTGCACTGGCAAAGCCACCAACCTTTACTTCATAAGATGATGGGCAGAAGTCAGCAAAGTCAGACTCGAGAGCCCCCATTTCAACAAACATTTATCGAATGGTTCCAGGCTTTGGGCAAGAAAAAAATGCCCATTTATTGTGGAGCAGTTACTGCTGCGGGGTTGATTATGTTATGTTTCTAGAGCTGTGCTATTCACTTATTCTCCCAGCTCCACCTGAGAAACGTGCCCTGCTTCTGCAGGTGTGCAAAGAGGCTGTGCAGGTGCAGAGGGTGGGGGAGCAGGTGTGAGCGTCTGGAGCTCCCAGGGCCCTGCTCATTCCTCAGCGTGCCGACTCTCTCCCCCTGTGCTGACTTGGGCGTTCTCGCAGAGGGGCTCCGCCTCCACTCCTCCAAGGACTGTGGCCCTGGCCTTGCACTTCTGGCCAGGAGCTGTTACTGATGGCTGTGGCCTGCTCACTTCCATTTAGAACACAGAGCCCACCCGAGCAGGAGACAGGAAGTCCCCGTTCTCCACCTCCCTCCCCAGTCAGCAGACCCACCCACACCATCAGGCCTTCTGTCCTCCTGCGTCCGTGCCTCGGGGGGAGGGGGTGCTGTCTGCTCCCCTCCGTGTCCTGCCTGGCTCCCGGGAGACGGTAAGTCCCACGGAGGGGAGACGCTGCCCGCCTGGATCACTAGCCCAGCGTCTGCCACAGGGCTGGGGGCCAGGACGCCCCGTGACTGGAGCGTGAATAAAGGAACGTTCTTCCAGAAACTGAACACCTGTTCTTTCTTGTAGGTGTGTGTGTGGGGGGCACTCCCACCCTAGCCTGACTCAGAGCCCCTCTGGCAAGGGATGCTATGCTTACGTTTATACCATTCTCATGCCGCGAGCACTTATCAGGAAGAGGCGTAGAATTTTAGGGAAAGGAAGTGACCCTCCGAGCTCACAAACCAGGCACAGCCCTGAGGTCGCCCGCTGGTCTGCCCCACTCCTGCCCCTCGTCCGCCCTGCCCACCCGCCCCACCGCAGTCCCTCTTGCCCCTCGGGTTCCCCGGGGACGGGGGCTGGCTCGCACCTTGAAGTCATCCCTGTCCTTGGCCCGGCTCTTGGTGGCTGCATTCCGAGCGTGCCCCAGCAGCGCCTGCCCGATGGCTCGCTCCGCGTGCTGCCGCAGGAGCCGCCCGACCTCCTGGGCCTCGGCCAGGAGCTGCTGCTGAAGCTGCAGCCGCGTCTGTTGTGTCTCCCCCTCCAGCCGGCTGGCCTCCTCCACGACTCGAGCCTCCTGGAGGGGACAGGAGAGGGAGAGCCCACGCTGCTGCCCCGCACGGGCGCTCCGGCCGGGGCCGGGACCAGGATGTGGGGCTGGCCCAGCCCAGGGCCCCAGGAGGGCTGAGGAAGGGATTGAGAAGGGGCAGAGAGTGGGGACCCCTGGGCTTGCAAAGTCAACAATGCACGTGCCGGGGTGCCTGTTGAACCCCCCCAAGCATTGATTGGGCACTGACTGCGTGCCCAGTGCCATCTGTGGCCTCTCACAAGCACAAGAACGTCCTCATTCTTCCAAAACACCATGAGGCCTGAACACTGGGAGTGATGAGGCTATAGAGGCCCAGAGACACTAAGTAACTTGTAAAAGTCACACAGCAGGGCTAGGCTTTGAAGCCAGAGCTGAGTTGGAGCATAATCTGGGACATCACAGAAGCCGGGCAGGGCATATAGGGCCCTGGGGACGGCCCTTCCTGTGGGAATCAGAGCTGGAGAAGGGGGTGAGGAGGCTGAAAGGGAGGAGAGCCAGTCCCGCCTGCTTCCCGCTGAGCTCTCCTGGGCAGAAGGAAAACGACCGTGAGCTTCTCCCTCACTAGTGGGTCAAAACACCAGCTACTCCACGAGAGCAGTCAGCCTGCTCGGGTTTAAATCCCAGCCCCGCAATCTACAAACCCTTTCTTTCAACTTGTTCAAACCCTAAAACAGATCACAGGGCTCCTTCCTCCCAGCACCCTGATGACCGTACGGATCTGATTTCTGATTTCATATCCATGTGTAACGTAATTCTCAAAAGAGCAGACACTAACGCCCTCCGGCACCCTAGGTGCCCCCCGCCCCCAGGAGGTTGCCACTGTCCCACCCTGCAACAGCAGTGGTGGCAAGACTGGGGCTTCGGCAGCCATGGCTGAGCCTGGACCCTGATGGCGTGGCATTGCCTGGCTGGGCCGGGTAGGGGGCTGACACACCCATCTTACCAAGGCTCTGAGCAGCTGCAGCTGATGTTCATCCAGACACTGGGAGGAGCCCTGCTCGAGGGCGTGCTGCTCACGCAGTTCCTGGAGAAGGCTCTTCTTCCCGGAAAGTCTCATGTGGGTCAGGGTGGTGATGGCGCTGCCCCGGAGAGCCAGCCTCCGGAGGGCAGAGCGCAGCAGCAGGTCATGCCCCTGCAGGATGCACCATGTGGACCTTTGAGGAAAGTGGGCACAGGGCTGGGAGTCAGTGCTCTTGGCTTCACTGAGCATGATGGTTAAATTTGTCAGCCAGAATGTTCATGAGATGCCCGAACATCTGATCAAACATTATTCTGGGTGTTTCTGGATTTTCTGGGCCTAACATTTGAGTCAGTAGGCTGAGTAAAACAGACTGCCCTTCCTAATGTGGGTGGGCCTCATCCAGTCAGTAGACGTCCTGAAGATAAGAAAAGGCTGACCCTCTCAGAGGCTGCATTGGTCTGGAATATGGTTTTGTTTTTTTTCCCCCTGCCTTTGGACTCGAACTGAGATATCAGCTCTTTCTGGGTGTCAAGCCTTCAGACTTGGGACTGGAAATACACCATTGTCTCTCCTGGATCTTCAGCTTGCCTATGTATGTCTCCTGTTCATTCCATGTCTCTGGACAACCCTAACACATTGAAATATCAAGAAATGCCTCAAGTAGCCCAGCTCCCCAGGGAGCCCTTCCAGAAGGCGGTAGGTTGGAATTATCCCATCTCGTGCTGCCTGTTTCCTTAGACATGGTTGCTCACCTGTATTCAGCCATTGGTTCTTTTATTCGTCTTTTCAACTTTATCATATCCTGCCCCAAGTTTCTGACACATATATGCAGCTGTCTTCAGTAGACAACTACTTGAATTTCTTACAGAACTTTAACAATCAGCACACCCAGAACTGAAATTGAGGGCTATTTTTGAGTGCCCATCTCAATGACTCAAGTGAAAAATGCTGGTCCACCAGAGAGGCCCAACATTTGGTATTTTCTGACAGCCTGAAAAGCTGAACAGAGTGTTGGCAGTCAACCTACCAAGGAGGAGAGACCTGGCAGACACTCCAGGCTTTCAGCTGGGGGCTCTTGTCCTAAGAATAAGGAATCATCCCTTACAGAAGCTTAATTTTGAATCAGCTACTTTCACAAATGGGATAGCAGATCTGCCACTATGTGAAATCCCTGCTAGAAGTAAGATAAATCCTCTCTGGAGGAAGATCCCATTATTCGAAACCTTAAATTATCTGTGTCATTTTCAGTTGCTGTGTCCAGCATTCAATAAAAATAACCAGACTTGCAAACAGATAAGAACTGGTCAAAGATAAAGAGAAAAAATAGACCATAGAAACATACCCCAAAGATACTGGATATTGAGATCATCAGAAAAAATCCTTACAAAAGCCATGATGAATATGTTTAATAAATTAAATGATAAGATGAAGAACTTCAGGAGACAACTGAGGACTATGAAAAGAATCAAATGGAGATTCTAGAACTGAAAATCCACTACCAACATTAAGAACGACAGATGGATTTAACAGCAGATGAAACATTGCTTAAGAGAGCGTGAACTGGAAGATAGTTCAAAATAAGTGTCTAGACTGAACCACAGAGAACAAAAGAATAAAAAATACAGGGCAGTATCTAAGATGGATGTGGGATAAGGTGAAAAATTCTAATAAAATGTATAATTGGAGCCCCAGAAAAGTAGGGAAAGAATTGGCAAAAGAAATATTAAAGTAAATCTAAATAAAATACCCACTAAGAAAAGCATACTCTATGAGAGAGGAATAAACGGAATTAAGGTGTTCTAAGGTGTCCATATTGTCCGGGAGAAGGAATATAAAAGTGTATATCAGATTTTAACACATCAAGGACACAATTTAAAATCTTTGAACCACTAAAAGCACAGTAAAAGAATACATAACTAATATGCCAAAAGAGAGATAAATTAAAGTAACAACAACAAAAAAAACCTAATACAAAAGAAGGAGAGAAAGGAACACAGAGCAGCAGAACAAACATAAAACAAACCGTAAGATGATAGGTTAAAAATCCAAACAGATCAGCATTAAGATTTACATTAAATATAAAGGACCAAATATTAGTACAATTAAAAGATACAGGTTTTCAGGCTGGACAAATCTTCCAGTCGTTCCCTATTGTCGTAGCATGGCCCACGAGGTTTTTCTGCTTGTTGTCACCTCCTTCCCCTATATTATCCAATACAGTAGCTATCCACCTACTTCTTGATGTATACACACACTAGTGTCCTGGAAAATGCTGGCAACTAGAAAAACAGTTTTATCAAAATAATTTTTCTCATATAAAACAAGGAAAAACAAACATTTTAGGGAAAGTTGAAAATATGGTACTACACTAATAGCTATAGAAAAAGTAGAAAAGAGGGGTGCCTGGGTGACTCGGTGAGTTAAGCGTCTGCCTTTGACTCAGGTCATGAGCTCAGAGTCCCCGGACTGAGCCCCACATCGGGCTCCCTGCTTAGCGGGGAGTCTGCTTCTCCCTCTCCCTCTGTTGCTCCCCCTGGCTTGTTCTCTCTCTCTTTCTCTCTCAAATAAATAAATAAAATCTTTTAAAAAAATGAAGAAATAGGAAGAATACAGATTTATTAATAAATTGGGAGTGGCTGAAAATGGGGACAAGGGGCTTTTTAGGTGATGGAGATGTTCTAAATTTGGATCATGGTCATAGCTGAAGAACTCTGTAAATTTACCAAAAATCATTGAATTGTATACATAGAATAATACATATGAATTATACTTCCAAAAAAGTATTTAAAAAGGTTGCTATGATAGACAGCTCTACGAAGTAGATATTATTAGCCCATTTTATAGATGAGGAAACTGAGGGCAAGATTTTCCCAGATCAAGTCTGACTGCAAGCCTTTTATCTATGGCACTCTACTATCACTCTTCTCCACATTTACACTTACAGATTGGTTGGTCTCAAAATCACACTGTAAGAATGGCAGGGGGCAGTTAATGTGTCCACCTAATAGATGAGAACTCTGAGGTTAGCATAGAGATCACAGAGGACACAGGCCCCCCACCCTTCAGAAAGCTGTACTCACTCTTCACTGAGGCCACCAAGTCGGCCCAAGACCTGGTGGATGATGCTCTCATGGTCATCTTGCAGGTGCGTCTGCAGCACAGAGGACAGGGCATGCTCCTCCATCCACACCTAAATCCAGCACAGAGCCACAAGGGGTCAACTCAAGTTCCCTTCACCCATCATCGCTTATGTTGGAACATGCCTTTTGTTTCTTGTTTAAAAGATCCTTTTCTCCCCTGATTTCATTAAGATTTTCTCTTACAGTTCCTTCTAAAGATTTTTTAAATTTCTAATTTACATTTAAATCTTAAAACATTGAACATTCATTTTCTGTGGCGTGAGGAAGGCATCTAATTTTTTTTTCTGCATAAATGGATACTAATTGTCCCAGCATCATTTATTAGAAAATTTATCTTTTTATGACTGGCTTGTCATGCCACCTGATCTTACACAGTTTCCACGTATACACAAATGTCATTCCAGGCTCTCTGTTTTAGTCCTTGGGGCTGTCTTTTTATTTCTGCACCAACACCATGCTCTTTAATTGCTGTTGCTTATAGCAAAACTGCATAGACATTAGGGAAAATTCTCCCATACTCTCTTTTTCTTTCTTTCTTTTTTTTTCAGAAACTGGCAAATGAAATTTAATTCTCAATTTTTATTAGGTACACAATTTTGTAAAGTTTTGACTTTTTAAATCATTTTAAGGAAAAAGAGCATTCAGAAAACATTCAAAGTACTATGTGTGTTTAAAATTTTATTGGCTGATAATTGTCACACGTTCTTCCCATGCTGCTAATCCTGAATTAAACGTGCATAGGAAAGCAGAGAACAAAAAAGTTACCCTCAGAACTCAACAAAATTTGAACAAGTGGGGAAAAAATGCTTACGGTCAGAAAACAAAACTTGTCTCTTAGCTCAGAGAAAATATTTCTTTGAATACCATATTTTAAAATAAAGCTTTGTTTTCCATTTAGAAGATGTGGAAAACACCTATTTAAAATGTCTTTGGAAGGACACCCCATTTTGCAATGTGCAGTCTTCCACATTCTTTGGGCTACAGATGTTGAGAGGTATCCCACGGTATTCTCACTTCTACAGGTTGATGTTGTCTGGCAGAGCCTTCCATCATTCAGCTTTCTGACATTTTATCAAGAATGAATAGGGGGCAAGAATTCTTGCTCGATTCGTTTCCACGATGCAGCCATTTAACATCATCTCATCCAAAATGATGTGCACTTTATCCAAATTAAGCATTATATCTAATTCACTCACTCGCTGAAGTATTCATCTAACACTTCCACAAAGTTATGGGTGAGTTCAAAAATGGCCGTCTCGTCCTCAGTGTCATTAACTCCAAACACAATGAAGACAGCAGCATACTGTCACTATATCAGCTTAAAATCCTTAAATTCAACGAAAGAACACTGTTCATTGGATCGGGAGAGACAGCTCTTTATGACTTCCATTTCCAGAATTGTACGCTTATTGATCTCCACATGTTCATAGCATTTAGAAAGTCGGGTCTGTCCTTGTTTATTCACCATGAAGAAAAATTTTATCCTTTTTTTTTTTTTCTGGGCAATATTTTTCCAGATAGTTCAAAAGTTACGTCAAGGGGTGCCTGGAATTAGAACCTGTGCAGCTCAGGGGGCGATAGCCCTGCCTGCGGTTCTGGCGACGGCTCTTCCGAGAGCCGCCCCCGTCCCTTTCCCGGAGAAGCTTGTTCCCCAGCCCTTACTAGCCGCGCGGTGCAGGCTTCCTTGGGGCAGCCATTTTGACTTCCTCTCCCATACTCTCTTATACAAAACTGTCTTAGCTTTTCCTTTCATATGAATTTGAGCATCAGTTTATCAAGTTTGGGAAAACTGCTTTTTGGATTTTCTTGTAATTGGACTGAATTTATAGATTAATTTGAAGAGCATCACCAGCTTTCCAAGATCAAGTTTTCCCATTCAAGAACGTGGCATTTCTCTTCAGTCTTACTTTATGCCTTCAACAACAGTTTATAAACTTCTCCACTAAGCTCTTATACATATCGGTCAGGTTTATTTTTAGGCACCCTATAGCTTTTACTCAGAAGAGGATCCTTATTGATGTTATCACTGGGTGCTCTGGTATGTAGTCAATCTACTGGTTTGGGATGCTGATTTTGTACCTGGGGAACTTACTGAGCAATCTGAATAGTTGTAATAGTTAGCAGATTCTTTGGGCTTCTCAATGGGGACCTTCATGTCATCCACAAAAGCCCTACAAAGGAGCCTCAGATCATCAATTGTGCTGTTTAGATCTTATCTTTATGGCTTGACTTATGACTTTTTTTTTGAGATGAGAGGGGGAAGGGCAGAGGGAGAGGGAGAGAGAGAATCTCAAGCAGACTCTATGCTCAGTGCAGAGACCGACACGGGACTCGATCCCAGGACCCTGGGATCATGACCTGAGCTGAAGGCAGACACTTAACCAACTGAGCCACCCAGATGCCCCTAGAACTTTTCATTAAAGTCAGCCTCTGACTTCGCTTGTAAAGAGTCTACAATAACCTGTCAGAGTGCTTAAGGGGCTAGAACTTCGTAGAAAATACTATACAGCGGGGGCACCTGGGTGGCTCAGTTGGTTGAGCCTCTGACTCTTGATTTTGGCTCAGGTCATGATCTCAGGGTCGTGAGATTGAGCCCTGTGTCAGGCTCCATGCTCAATGGGGAGTCTGCTTGAGATTCTTTCTCTCCCTCTGCCTCTGCCCCTGCTCACTCTCTCTCTCCCCCAAAGGAAAAAAATAAAAGAAAATTTTGTACAGCCTTGCTTCTCTAAATGGTAAACGAACCCATATGGGGGTCTTTGGTGGGCACTTAAGAATGCAGGTAAAAACAGCATCAGGACTCAAACACAATCGAGAGGACCAAGGCCATCAGACTCCATGGTGCCTGCAATTGTCACACTAACATCTCCAAAGCTATCAAATGCCGGCTCGTGGATGCTTAAATTCAGAACCACAAGCTGCTTCAGTGGGCTAAAGTGCTGACCCTGGTCATTGCTACCTGGAAATCGTGTGGCTTTGGGCAAGTTTACTCTTTGTTTCAAGCTTATAGTTACCAAGGAGAGAAAGGGAGAAAGAACTAGCAGTCAGGGCATGCCTGGTACACGCTGAGGGTTTTGTAGTGTTCTCCCATAAATGGGGCGGGCTTACAGGTGGCTGGGTTCTAAAGCCAGCACCTCAGGCAAACACTGTCATGCTGAGGGAGGGGGGGCACTGCCGTTTTAAAAAGCACAATCAGGGTAGGCCTCATTGTGAGGGTGGCCTCGTGTGAGGGTGACATGGGAGCAAAGACTGCAGCAGACGGAGCAAGGCTGGAGCACACCCAGCGCGTGGAAGGCACGCAAGGAGGCCAGTGCGGCTGGGACAGAACCAGGAGGTCAGAGGGAAGCCGGGCCCCCGACATGGAGGGCCTCGTAGGGCAGGGTGAGGATGCTGGCTCTACTCTGCATGAAAAGAGAAGCCACTGGGGGTCTGGAGCAAAGAAGTGACACAACGTGACCGTGTCTTTTAGCAAACCTGATGTCCTGGCAATTATAAGATGCACAACTATTTTAAATGTGCCCCTTAAAAATTAGTGTCATGCGGTATGTTTTGAAAGGATCGTTCTGTGTGGGAGGTTGAGAGTAGACCACAGCAGGGGGAGGCGTGGATGCAGGGAGACCAGGGTGGGGGGTGCGGGCTGTCACGGAGATCTGATGACAGGTGTGGTACCTGTGACCAGGTGTAAGGGCAGACGTGATGAAAGTGGTTCCTTTCTGGACTAGACGGAAGGCAGAGCCTGTGCAACTTCCTGTCAGTTGCACGTCAGGGATGCAAAAGGGCGAGTCGAGACAACCCCAAGGGTTTTGGCCCGGTTGGCTGGAAGATGGAGGAAGAGTGTGGATGGAGTGGGTTGGGCAGGAAGACCAACAGTTCTTTCCTGGGGCATGTGACAGGTACCACGCCTATTCATCACATACAGGAAGATCTCAGGCAGAGAGCGGAGTTTGGAACGCATTCTGAGCTGGAGACATAAACAAGGGAGGTGCCGGCCTCAGTCCAAAAACAGAGGGATAGAATCCTGCCGAGAACCATGTAAGTGAGTTTGGAAGCGATTCTCTTCCGGCTGAGCCACCAGATGAGACCCCCGCCACAGGCTGGATTGCAGCTGTGAGACCCCAAGCAGAGGACCCCGTGAAGCCATGTCTGGTCCCCTGATCTGCAGAGACTGTGGGATAATAAATGTGTGTTGCCTTTTTTTTTTAAATAATTTATTTGTTTGACAGAGAGAGACACAGCGAGAGAGGGAACAGAAGCAGGGGGAGTGGGAGAGGGAGAAGCAGGCTTCCCGCGGAGCAGGGAGCCCGATGCGGGGCTCGATCCCAGGACCCTGGGACTATGACCTGAGCTGAAGGCAGACGCTTAACGACTGAGCCGTGCAGGCGCCCCTAAATGTGTGTTGTCTTAAGCTGCTCGCTTGGTTATTTGTCATGCAGCATTAGGACACCAGGACAGATGGGTGTGACTGGATGGGTCACCAAGAGAGTGCATGCAGACCAAGAGGAGGGTCCTGGACTGCGTCCTGGGCCACTCCAGGGGCAGACAAGGTGAAGGTGAGAAAGAACCAGCAAAAGAGACTGAGGCAGAGCCACAACAGAGGTAGCAGGAGAAGCAAGAGTCAAGCGGCTGTTTCAAGGAGGAGGGGAGAGCCCAGCTTTGGAGGACAGGGATCTCTCAATATGGAAAGTGGGAGAGAACAGGCCCCAGCCCAAGCACTGTGGCTGAGTGCGGCAGGGGAGGCCTCAGAGCTCAGCACAGGTGGGAGCAGGTGTGGTGGCCGGGTGATGGAAACCCACCTGCAGTGGGGCTGAGAGAGTGGGAGGAGAGTGGGAGGCGGTGCCAGGATTTAACACCTGATGGACTGATGGCCACAGGGGTGTTCCTGATGATAGGAAGCGCTATGGACCGTACCCACTGCCACATGCCTTGTCAAAAGTGCAGACTCCCATGTGGCGGTCTATCACTCTCCCATGGTGGCTGTTTCTGCCACAAACTCAGTAGCTTAAAACAACACAAACTCATTGTCTTAGAGTTCTGCTGGTCAGAAGTCCAAAATAGGGCTCAAGGGGCTAGACCCCGAGGTGTCAGCAGGCTTACATGCCTTCTGGAAGCTCTGGGCAAACCCCATCTCCATGCCCTTTCTTGCTGCTGGAGATCACCTACATTCCTCGGCAAGTAGCTCCTTTCTCCATCTTCAAACCATTGATGGCTGGCTGAGACTTTCTTGGTCCAACCATATCACTCTGACACTCCTGCATCCCACTTTCATTTATAGGGACCCTGGTAATTCTATTGGGTCCACCTGGATAGCCCAGGAGAATCTCCCCGTCTCAAGATCCTGAACTTAATCACATCTGCAAAGTCCCTTGTGTCATGTGAGATCCCATGTTCACAGCCATTGGGAATTAGGACGGGGACATCTCTGGGGGGACCTAGCACAGTGGACTGGGGAAAAGTCCAGAAAGCAACATTAGAACAGATTACATTTTGAGAACCACCATTCTACAACCTGTTCCAATTGGGTAATCCAATATGGGACGGATTCCATAATATTTAACAACTTCCCTGAGTAACAGGACCCGAAATTACCAAGGTCCTTTGGGTAAAAGACAATGTAGGAAATGCATTTCACAGCCTGGGTGTGTGTTTCATTTTCCATGAACAGTTTTGTTGATGTTTTTTTTCTTATGACTAAATATTCATCTGAATCATAGAAAGCTCATCGCTCATTTTTATCATCAAGGAGGAAATATGGTAAGTGAGAGTACACACGGACCTCTAAATATCTTGTGGCACTTTAAGGCAATTAAACAACCAATCAGTAAATTAATTATGACATATACACGTTGCGAAAACAGTCTTGGGTTATACTTATTTAATCAGTTGATTTGGTCATTAACCATCCTGCTTGCTTCTTGCGTGCAGAACTCCTGAAACCCTTCCGCACAAGCCACGGAAAATTCACATGCACGTGTATACTCACTAAGTAAATAAATAGGAAGTAAAAGCCAGAAGTCATGCATTGTCTAACATTTACTTAAAATAATCAAGACTCATAACCAGGGGGTTGCAGATAGATTATAGCTGTTGGTCTAATAATTGATCAGAAATGAAGTTCTGGATTTTTTTCGATGCCAGTATCATTAAATAATGAGAGAGAAGCTGTGTGAAAGGTCTTATCTTGCATTATCTCAGAGCAACACTGTTGGGTATTTTGATCCCTATTTTTCACTCAGAAGCAGAGATTCTGAGACATTTAGCAAGTTTCGCAAAATGCCAGAGCTGTGTGGGGGGTCAACTAACCGGCCGAGGCCAACCAGCCCATGGACAGGACTGCACTGGCTCAAACCCACACATCCAGCTTCCAAGATTAGGGGCCCATCTGCAAACTACAGCTGCCTCTCAAAGGCCCCCCCTCCTATTTGGGGATCCTTCATCAGAGGCACATTAGACTCACATGGCCAGCTTATCCCCCCCACCGCCACCCCAGAGACTGTAAATTAAGTGGTCTGGGCCCAGGATTGGTATGAATCCAATGGATTCAGCTTCAACTACATCCCTTGAAGAACAATAAAGTGACCCTGTGATAATTTCCAAAGCCGCGTTATTGTTTTTTTTTAAGACTTTATTTATTTATTCATGAGAGACAGAGAGAGACAGAGAGAGAGAGAGAGAGAAGCAGAGGGAGAAGCAGGCTTCTCGCTGAGCAGGGAGCCCGACGCGGGACTCGATCCCAGGACCCTGGGACCATGACCCGAGCCGAAGGCAGACGCTTAACCATCTGAGCCACCCAGGTGCCCGAAAGCTGCGTTATTGTTGTTGGTAATGCAGCCAAGTTTTCCTGGGCCCTCGCTGTGTCCCAGCCCCTGGACTTTGAATAAAGCAATGAAAAAATGAAAAACAGAGTTGCTATCCTCTAGGAACTTAGAGCCAAGCGCAGGAGACAGTTAGCAATGAGAGGAAGACATGATACAGCTGATGGAGGACTGAACTGAATTAGAAGGAGGTCTAATAGGAAGCGAGGCCCTCTGCTGCTCCATGGCTGTGAGTGGCCTTGTGGCATGATGCCCCCCCTTTCCTTACGTGGTACCTTGGACAGCTCCGGTTAGTTGCTTTGGAAAACCTCCCTTCCATTCGTGAGTCCAGTGCTCTTCTGTAACTAATGGGACCCCATGGCAAAGAGGCAGGGGTTGTTTCCTATAACAAGCTCCCAAGGGGTGGGCAGTCCAGGGCTGGGACAGTGGCGTCCACTCTCTGCTCCACCATCCTGAGCCCGTCTGCCTCCGTCCTCCCGCATCCTGCCTCTAAGTCAAAGGAAGGCTGGTGTGCCCCAGGCCTCCTGCACATGCTCTGGGCAGGAAGAACAGGGAATGCCGAAGAAAGGGAAGCTCTTTGCAGCGACCACACTCTGTCTCATTGGCCAGGACTATGTCACCAGGTCACTGCCAGATACTGGGATAGTGAACACATTCGTGTTACAGCCTGCGGTGTGCATTAAGGCAGGAGAGAAAGGAAATGCAGGAGTTTTAATGCCTGTCACATTTAGAAATTCCTCTATTTGACACGTTTTAGTTTTTTAAAATAAAGTTAATGTAAATTCGTTTCCTACTGCTGCCATAACACATGACTACAAATTCTGCGGCTTAAAACAACACGAATTCATTATCTTAGAGTTCTGGAGGTCAGAATTCTGAAATGGGTCTTAACTGGGCCAAAATCAGAGCTGTGACCCTTCTGGACGCCCCGGGGGGGAGTCTGCACCTGCCTTTTCCTGCTTCCAGAGGTGCCTGCCTGCCGTGCTCGTGGCCACATCACGCCGTCCTCTGCTCAAGTCATCACTTCTCCTTCTCTGACTCTGACCCTCCTCCTTCCCTTTTAGGAGGACGACCCTGTGATTACACTGGGGCCCCCTGGATATGCCAGGACAACGTCTCCATTTCAACATCCTTAATACACTCACTTGGGCAAGGTCCCTTCTGCCATGTTAGGTGACTATTCACATATTCTGGGGATTAGGAGGCGGACATCTCGGGACCATTATTCTATCTACCACATGGATACCTGGTTTTAATCAGGAAACAGGCTTTCACTGAAAAACAGGAGTTCCATGTGAGAACCGCCCCCCCCGCCCAAGTCCACTCCCTTACGAGCTACCTTCTGTTGTTGACTTCTGCCGGTCTAAAGCACAGGCATTGCTGCCCTTTCGTAATGGGCCAGCCGGAGGCATTAATCTACTGACTTCCCATCCTCTGCTCCCTTCTCCTGCCCACCTTGGTTGTGAAGGGCCGGGCAGGGCACAGTGTCTGTCAAGTGCTCAGCACAGGCGCTAGGGATGCTCCATGAACAAAATCTCTCATTATTTTTCCTAAGTGTAAAAACGGTAGACCCCCAGGCCTGGTTGTGCAAAATGCCCACCTGCTTGTCTTGCTCCAGGAGATCTTGGAAGAGTTCCCACTGCTGCTTGCGGAAGCGATCCGACTGCCCCAGCTGCTGCGCTGCGTTCTCCTGGACCTCCTGCCTCAAGTACTCACACTCTGCCTGGGAGAGGCCAGTCACGCCTGGGAGCGTCTGAAGGAACAGGACGTCCACAAACTTCTGGAACGTTTCCATGGTGCCACGGTACAGCTCCTGAAGCCAAGAGCACGTGACAGGGTTACAAGTCATGCTCTCACCCTGGGCAGGGCTGTGGGCTTTCCACAAAGCACAGAGGAAACCCAGCGAAGTGAGCTCTCAAATCACACACGCACACACACACACACACACACACACACACACACACACAGAGCAGGGGCAGAGGGAGAGGGAGAAGCAGACTCTGTGCTGAGCTTGGAGCCTGACTTGGGGCTCGATCCCAGGACTCCAAGATCATGATCTGAGCCAAAGTCAGACGCCTAACTGACTGAGCGACCCAGGCGCCCCTAGTTATCTCCTTTAGAAGCACCTATGCAGATGCACAGAATCACACGCACACCTTCACCTTGCTCCTCACACCTTCACGTGCAGCGTATTTCCAAGTACCTCCTCCTCAGAAACAGACTCCAGCAGGTGTATTCCTCATTCACACCTGACAGGCTCTCCTGATATTAGAAAAAAGGGGGTCTTTACCTTCATGGCCCAAGCTCTCACAGGCCTGGCCACTAGACGCAGGCACAGGAAAATCAAATACAGAACATCCCAAGGACATCACTGGAGGGATGAGGCTGTGGTCACTTCAGTGTCACCACAAGCCTTTACTGAAACTGATGTATTTGCTGCCACCCTCTGACATTGGCCCGGTGCTTCTATATGCACCGCTCATTCCTCCAGCAGCAATACCTGATGGACGTTTTGGCCTTGCTTTATGGAGGAGGAAAGTGGGTTTAGTTGGCCAAGATCTTAGACTCCAATCCCAGCTCAAGATAGGGAGTGTCAGCCTGCTGGAAAATGTCCCCTGCTGGGGGTGGGCTCAGGTGGGCTCAGGGGCCACAGGGTAGGGCATCAAGAGAGCATCTGCCTCATGAGTATGAGCTCACTGGACCTACCCCATTCCCTCCATGACAGTGGTTCTCAAACTCAGCTGTGCATCAGAATGCTGTTAAGATGGAGAAACTGAGGCACAAGTTAGATAAGCTGCTCCTGAACCCGTAACTGGCCAATGGCCTGGCTGGGATTGGAACCCAAGCATCTGGCAGGACGTCACTGCTCTACCACACAGCCCCCACTGAGCAGCATGTGGTCTTCTTATGGGGACGTCAGCCATTCCCTCCTAATTCAGTGTGGCCTCATCTTCACTAATTACATCTTCAAGGACCCTACTTCCAAGTAAGATCACATTCTGAGGTTCCAGGGCGACAAGACATTTTGGGGGCTACTGTTAGGAATGGAATTGTGTCCCCCAAGTTCAAATACTGAAGCCCTAAGCTCCAGTGTGACAGTATCTGGAGATGGGGCCTTCAAGGAGATGGCTGAGGGTAAGTGAGGTCGTAGAGTGGGGCCTTAAGCTGATAGGGCTGGTGTCCTAATAAGAGGAAGACCCCAGAACTCTTTCTCTTCATTAGCACATGGGAAGGGCCAAGTAAGGACAAAGCAAGGAGGTGGCCATCTGCAAGCTGGGAAGAGGGTCTTCACCGAACCCAACCCTGCCCACACCTTGACCTTGGACTTCTGGTCTCCAGAACAGCGAGACAGTAAGTGTCTGCTGTTAAGCCCCCTGTCTAAGGCACTTCATTACAGCAGCTGAGCTGACTGATACAGACACTATCCACCCAGTATAGCTGCCACGATGCTGAGGGTTTGCACTGCCCACCTTCACTTGTTTTGATGGGCCTCGGATACCCCCTGGCTCCTTGTCCACCTGGCCTGTCTCCCCCTTCAAAGCTTGGCTCAGCATCTCTTCCTGCAGACAGCTGTCTCTGACTTGGCCTTAGCCCCAGGCATCCCTCACGCCTCCTCTCCGCACCCGTAAGCAGGGATGTTGTAACAGAAGCCAACTGGGATCGGGCATGTCCTGGATTCCAGCTACTGCCTAAGGGCCTCATTCCACCCCCATGAAGAAGGCTTATCATTGTCCCCATTTCGCAGATGGGGAAACTGGGAACTGGAGAGGCCCAGTAAAATCTGGAGGCCACACAGTGGGGAAGGGGAAGAGCCAGGACGCAGACGCAGGCACTCTGAGTCTGGAGAGGACCCCATATGCACTTCCCAACGCTACGGCACTTGTCACTTTCCTTCATGCAGGATGTCTGCATTTTGGCTTTGCAGTAGCTCTGGGTGCTGCCCGAGGCAGGGGCTCTGTGTCTTGGTCACCATCACCCCCTGGGAGGCCCATCACTTTGGAGGGCACAGGTGATCTCCCCTGTTCTCTCGGAGTCAGTCCTCCAGGCCAGCATGGAGTCCTCGTCCCCGTTCTGGAGTTGCATGAGGTTGCCCGGGGAGAAAGGCGGTGCCGGCACTCAAACCCAGGCCTCCCTGTTCTAGGGCCAGCCCTCCGTCCTCACCACTGCCTTACCCGCTGACTCCCACAAAAGCCGGCCTCCTTTCCATCCTGGGTGAACTCGCTTCCAAAGGCCTTTGCCCCTAGGGACATCTGGAGGTCAGAGTCCTGAGCACCCCGGAAATGGAAGATGCCTCTGATAGGACCCTGGTGTGTGATGCGGGGAGGGAGGGACCCATGGAGGGTGTGTGGCTTGCCTGCTCTCCACAGGGCCAGAGTTGGGCCTGAGCCTGCATCTCTGGGGTCCCGGCCCAGGAGGAGGGGGGATTCGCATGCACGTGCGGATCCTGGGGACTCTCTGCAGGTCCCACCACGAGGCCACGTACCTGGCAGAGCACAGCCATGACCTCGGTGGTTCTGACGTTCTCCTCCTCCTCCAGGTAACTCTGGGTCAACCTCTGCCTCTCCAGGACCGCATGAAAAGCCTGCGAATGAAACATGAGCTGAATCTTGTGGGAAAATGCCAATTTTTTTTCCTAGAAAAATTCCCCCAAAGGGCAACTCTCAGATCTGAAGGATGTCCGTCCCTGATTTATACAGGAGGAAACTGAGGCACAGGTTATCACGTGGCTGCAAATTGCAAACCTGATCTCCTGGCCACAAGCCACCCAGGCATTCTGTGACTGGGTTGCTGGGGACCACCACCCGGGCCTGGGGAGACCACCCAGTGGAGCCCACCACCTAGCAGGGTCAAAGCACACAGGCCGTGAGAGGTCAGTCTGGTCGGCCCTGGCCACGTGGCTGCGCCCTGCCCTGAGGAGCCAGAGAATCGCGCGCGGGGGAGATGGGGCAGACACAGGCGTGCAGCCGAGGGGCATGGCGGGTCAAAATGACAGAGGGACAGACTCCTCGTGGGGAGGTCCACGGGGGACAAAGACCCTTGTTCATTTATTTCCTCGTTCCCTCGTTCATCCATTCTTTCATGTATCTGCTCCACCCTTCCCTCCTTTGTCCCTGTCTCCTGAGCCCCCAGCGTGGGCCTGGCCTGTGCTGAGGTGCTGGGCAGAGCCGACCGGGCCACCCTTCCCTGCACTCAGGATGTGCAACGCGATGCCAGGGAGGGGCCAGAAATCTCTGAGCAACATAGAGCAGTATAATCCTACCAGCCTTGCTTCAGATGCATCCTGTCCAGGACAGAAACAGCCCCCCACCCCAACCTTGTGACCTGGAAGGGATCTGGGAGGAGGCTCCTTGGGGCGGGGGGCAAGGTGGACCTTAAAGGGACCTAAATGCCTCTCTTCTGTCCTCAGTGTGTGTCGGAGAAGTCTCCTCCTGGCTTCTCACTGGGGAGCTGCTCCTGCCACCAGGCTGGCCCCAGGGAGGGCCCATGCCTGTGCTCTGCGTGGGGCCTGGATCCAGTCACTGTCCCTCTGTCCCTCTGTCCGAGCCAAAACAAGGTCCAGCTCATGTCAAGGCAAAGGAGAAGGACCCAGACAAACAGTCGGGCCATGGCTGCCCCTTACTTGGTCTCCCTGAACCCTAACAACCCATGAGGTGGGTGCCAGGACTCCCATTATGCAGATGAGGAAGCTGAGGGCTGAGGGGAGCAATGCGCCCAAGGTCACTCAGCTCCTTAGCAGCAAAGTCAGCGTTCCAACCCGTTTCCAGGTGGCCCCAGTGCCCAAATGCTTGACCACTGTGCAGAATGGACAAGCAGGTGCCCTAGCCCCCGTCCATGAGCAGGGAAATACGGGGGCAAAGGCAGGGCTCTCTTCTCTCTCTCTCTCTCCCTGGTCGTCCCGGCCTGTGCTGGTGCTAGCTCATTTCTCTGCCCTCAAGGAGGGTGGCCTCTTGTTTCTTGTCTGGCAAGTCTCCTTGTCCCCTTCCTTGTCAAGACAAGGGCATTTTCTAGCCCGGCCACCTCCCTGATCCTGCCACAGAGCCTCCCGTGCACAGTCCTCCCTTCCCCTGGGCTGGCTAAGGTCACCGGGCTGACACAGGGCAGTGAGCAGTAGACCTCATGTCTGGCCAATGCCAAGGTCTCTGGCTTTCCTTGCACAGTAACAAGGATGAAGCCGCAGCACTCAGCCTGCATGGCTGCTCCCCGGCTGGCTGTGTCTGTGGACGCGGGGAGGGAGTGGGGAGCAGGGTCACCTGGAGGAACTCGTCTGGGGTGGTGCTCTGCTGTGCCTCAGCCAGGAAGCTCCTCTGTTCCTCTTCTTGGGCCAGCGTGAGCTTGGCCATCTCCTCTGCTTGGCGAACCAGTGACGCCTTAACCAGGTCTTTGCCTCGCTGGACAAACTCTGAAATTGAAGTAAGCCCCAGCACATCGCAGGTTACTCCCCGGGCAAGACACTCATAGTCTCCTGCCCGCACTCGGGATGCAGGATGGACCAGCAGGAGCCCCGCACTCCTGCCTGCGCTCATAGTTTTATCTTTCAGGTATAGGTGCTTCCAAAAGGCCAGTGTTAGGAGCCCCTGGCTCTTCAAAGCCCACAGCCCCACGTTATTTGAAGGGACCCTTCTTCCCCTCGGGCCCAGTGCTCAGGACAGAAGAGGCTGCATTTTGTGGTTGTGCAGGGTGACCAGTCAACCTGACCAGGAGATGAAGAAGGGGTATTTTTTTGTGGGGAAAAATGAGGAAGGAATAGGTGACACAGGGAGGGGCAGATGGAAGGACAGGAGAGAAGACTCCGGGTCTGTAGGAAGACAGTGGCATCTCAGAGTGCAGTTGAGATTTAAAACTCATGAGGATGAGTTATTAAATTAGCAGGAGCTGCAAGAAGGCGGGGCAACCCAAGGGCAAGGCCCTCTGCCTGGTGGGGAAGGTGAAGGCGGGCAGAGAGGCTGGGGTCTGAACCCCCCTTCGCCCCGCAGAGGTCACTGGGCCGGCAGCGTGCCAAGGATAGCACTGGGCGCTGGGCGCAGGCTGCTCCTGGTGCAGAGGAGTTGAGAGAAGGGGAAGGGACAATCAGTGTCATGCCGGATGAGGAGCAGGGTGGTGGGAGGAGAAGGATGAAGGGTAATGGGCAGTGTGGGACCCCAGGGAAGGCTTCTGGGAGAGGAGATAAAGAAGAGGTGAGCCAGATCCTTCTCCCCTGAGTTTTGGGGGAGATGCTCAGTGTAGAAGCTGGAGAAGTCAACGAGGGCCAGGCCACCAGGGGTCTGCCGTTCTGGGAGATGTTTGTTTCAGCATTTCATACATACATACACACACACACACACACACACACACACACACACACACACACTCTCCACATTTGTAAGACAAGCACACTTCCTTGGGTTTTGTCTGGGAATCTGTTTAGCCTCTGGCACCAAAGAAAAGGGTGTGACCAGGTGGCCAGAGAGACCAGAGTCCTCCCTCTGCCCAAGGTCCTCCCTCCATGCCCCGACTGTCTCCCTGCCTCCCCTGTCCTGTCCAAGTTCAACAGAGCCTGATCAGTGGGGTTCCTTTGGCATCCTGCCCCTGCCAGTCTGTGCTGCTGGGGCCCCGTCCCGCTAGGAGAGCCCAGGTCCCCGTGTGAGATGACCCCCAAGGCCAGATGTGCTCAGTTCTACACAGTCCAGACTCCAGCCAACAGCGGGCTTCCATGTGGTCACAGAAGCCGTGATGCCGAGTGACAAAGACCTCATGGAATGGCCCGAGGCCCCAGCTCTGAGTGCCTCCCTCTGACCCCATCTCTGAAAGGCAGCCGGCAGGCTTGGCAGAGAGGACACGAGCCACTGCAGACAGAGGACCAGGACACGGGCTGCAACAAAAACCTGGCGCCATGCACTGGACCGTGTCCCCCCAAATTGATACTCTAAAGCCCTAACCCCTGAGGGACTGCATCTGGAGGGTAAACGAGTTTGTGAGACTGGGGTCCTAATCCCCGAGGGCTGGTGCCTGAGAAGAAAAGGAAGAGGTACAAGAAAGCCCTTCTCTGCTACGTGAAGACACAGAAGGCTGCAGGCAGGACTCAGTTTCTCACCGGAACTGACTGGGCTGGCGCTCTGTTCTCGGACTTCACTGCCTTCAGAACTGGGAGAAAAGAGAGGGCTGTTGTGTAAGCCCCATGGTCTGTGCTATCTTGATACCGTGGCCCGAGCTGACCAAGACCCCTGGAGACTCCCTGGCCCTACAGCGTCCACACCCATGTGGGTGTCAGAGTCCGCTGGGAAAACTGTGAAGCACACGACTCCGTGCCCTGCAGACGTCCTGACCGAGACCCCAAGAGGCTGCCCGCCTCTCTGCTTCCACTCCCGGCCCCGGGTGAACGTGCAGACTTGGACCCGCGCTGGGACCAGCGATGAGCTCTCCCCACTGAGGGCCTGGGGCAGCCGGTGCTGGAGGCAGAGCTGGTACCCTCCCTGCAGCTAAAGTTTCTTCTTTCTAACGATGGGACCTGGACTAAGTCTCGGATGCCCTCAGTATCTTGAGCCCTGACCTGCCCACCTCCCAGGGTCCGCCCCAGGAGCTGGGGTGGGCACGAGAAACAACCCCGTCGGGTTCCCTCTCCTGCCCTCCAGGCTCAACCATTGCCCACCCTCGCCTGCGCTGCTGAGCAGGGCCCTGGGACTTGTGTAGGGCCATGGGTTGCAGCTGAGTGCCATGTGTCATTTCTGGGCATTGCCACCCTCCTTTGCTCTCTGCATGGTCCAGGTGATTCTGCTGCAGGAACACCAGGGCTTCTGTCAGCCCGGTCACTGACGGCTAAATGCAGCCGGCAATCCCAGACCCTAGGGGCAGCCTTATGGGGAAGGCAAGCAAGGCTCAGAGCCGGTAAAGGGATGCAGTCCCCAAGGGCCGGAAGGGGATCACAGCCTGTGCTGGTCTCCCGCGTGCTGCTCCATGTCTCCTGACGCTGCCCCCAAGGCCTGGCCCCCCTCCCCCACCCCCGCACAGGAGGGCTGTGCACCCCGGACCCGGCCATGGCTCACTCACCGCTGCTGAAGCGCTCCGCCTCCCCCCAGAAGGCCTTGTGCTGCTGAGTGAGCAGCTCCTCTTTCTGCTGCCCGGAGAGCTTCCCCTCGATGGTCAGCAGCTCCAGGCCGCGGGACAGGGCGGCCAACCGGCATTTGGTCTCCTCCTGGATTTGGAGCTTCAGGGACTCGATCACTTTTGCCATGTGCGCCCGCCCCATGGTTCTCTCCAGGGTGTCCTGGGAAGAGAAACCCCCAGGTCAGCATCCCGCCCGGCAGCAGGGGTCTGCCAAGGGCAACGGGCTCCGTCCTGGAGCCCCCGCTGCCTGTGAGCAGAGTGAAGACCGACTGGCTCTCCCTCCGCTCCTCCCGCGTCTGCTCCTTGGCTGCAAACAGAATCGTCCGTCACAGGGCTGGGGTGAGGCTGACGCGGGGTACCAGGCGTTAAGCTCTTGGCACAGAGTGAGAGCACGTCGGGGGCTGCTCTTCTGGGAAGGGGTTCAGTGCGTGCATGTGGCCAGAGAGGGGCCTTCCTTATGGCCATTCCTCCCCAGTCCCTGGGGCCTTTGGCCTCCACAGCCCTGAAAGGGAAAGGCAAAGGCAGAGAAAAGGTCACAGGAGCCCTTGGCTTTGGAGCCTCAGAGAGCCTGGGATGCAGGGTCTGAAGAGGTTTTCGATGGTGAGACTGACTTCACAAGTGGCTCCCTCGAGGTCAGACTTGAGAACGGCCCCCCTGCCCCCTCTGCCCCACCACGGCATCATGACTCAGGACAGGACTCTTGGAAAAGACACCTCCCTAGGGCAAAAAATGCTGACCAGCGGCAGATGGGACCCTGTGGGTCCAGAAGCCTCAGAGGGCAGCTGCTCCCCCCGGCAGAATGAGCGTGAGGACCGCAGAAGCGGGAGGGGGGGGGCGCTGCTGTGTGCAGAGGGAGCACGCCTCTCCCAGCTGGGCATGGCCCCAGCAGACACCCGAGTCCACCTCAGCCCGTCTCGTCCTCCATGCCAGCAATCCTGCCTCTTCAGACGCCCCTCTCTTTCCTTCCTGCCGGCCCGTCACAGCCAGCTCAGGCCCTACTCACGTCTGGTCTGTTGTCCCAGCCTCCCACCTGCCCCCGTGCGCTCTGCCCCCACATGGCGGACAGGGGCCTTTCTGAGAGGCAGACCTGGTGCTGTCCTATGGCCCAAACCCTCTAGTCACTGCCTTCAAACCAGGTCTGAACTCCAGGGCATGGTGCATGGTGCCCCTCGGTGCCCCGAGGACCAGGCCTGGCTTTGTCTCCAGCCTTGTCCACACACCTTCTTGCTCAGGGCCGCCCAGCACACCTGGCTCCCAGCTCTGCCGGGCCTCCACTCGAGGCCCTCCACCTGGAGCACCTTCCCTGTTCCTCTCACTCCTCGGCCTGCTAGTCCTCATCCATGCTGGGCTGGGCTGTGGGGTGCCTTCCCTGATCTCCCCCACCCAACAGCGGGCCCCTCCTCCATGCTCCACGGCCCCATGTGCTCTGTCTTTAAGGAGCTAATCACAAGGGACAGTCCCAAGCTGGACTGAGAGCCCTTGAAGACAGGGCAGGGGCAATGTCTGAGCTACCCACAGCCAGGCCTGGGTCTCACTGTTTGTTGAGCGGCACTGGTCTGTGTTCTGACAACGTGTGAACAGGGCAAGAATAAGGATCCCCCAACTACAGACAAGAATGCTGAGGTTTATTCTGGAAGGCCACATAACTAGCCCAAGGACAGCGGCTTTGAACCTCCTCTGATTAGACGCACCTGACAGCCGTCGGCAGGCCCGTGACCGCTAGGGGGCGCAAGAGGATAAGCGCTGGGTGGCTGCGCGCTGGGTGGG